GCAGTAAATCTGAATGCTTCTGCAGCTTTAGCTCCTGCTTCGGCGAACACAGCTACTACTGCTACTACTTTTTTCTGATTTCTTACACCTCCACTAGATGCTGCTGCGAGGCTTTAGTGTGTTTCCCATAGACATAGACATGTCTAAACTCACTGCGCACATGCACAATATCTTTCCTCTATTAATGAGGTCTTGTTATAGTAAATAAACACAAAGAACTGTTGTTTTACCTGTAAGAGTAAACAACTTGTCAAATAAATGATAAAAAGCCAACGTGTTGCAATAATTTAACTGGAACCCCTTTGTAACACACCTATCGTTTAAACTATTTATTTTGATCTACTATGAAACAGGCCTGGATTCCACCTTTAATTTTTTAGTTGGCATCTGAATTAAGTCTTAGTTGTGTATTTGTTTGTGCAGTTGGAGGAGCTGTGTGAGGCTGAAGATGCTTTAGCCGCAGCCAGTCGTTTGAACACAGTGAATGCAGAGATGTGGGCATACCTTTCTTTAATCAACCTGAAGGTGAGTGATTACAAGGATTACAACTCTCAGAGTTCTGGCACAGCCCATGGAGGGTTATTATTTAGCATAAAACAAACCAGATATTTGTTTGACTGAATTCTTTTTCACCTCAGAAATTTTTTTTTTCTTACCCTAATGTGGGGGCAAAGCTGGTGTGTGCAAGGCAAACATTAAACTTCAGTCACAGAGGTAACAGAATGCAGATGATGGCTGTTACAGTTGGAAATAGATTTGGGAGAGTCCAGTTAGTGTAATTAAGAAATCTTCAATTAACAATATTAGATAAAAATATATTAGCAATTTCTTTGCTCTGTTGCAACATATAGCCTTCAGTCCAGAGATATCAAGCTCCAGCCTCCGAGGACCGGTATCCTGTAACGTTTGGATGGGTCTATACTTTAACACATCCGGACAGCCTTCAGCCTGACGGACATGGTTGTGTGACAGACACAGGTAGCTGATACTGGTCAGACTGGGACTACAGCTTTCAGGAAAAGAACTACATAAAAAGTTACATAGATGTAACGAATGGCTGAAGCTCTTCAAGATAAAACCACAAACATGTGAAGGTGTTGACATGTGCACCTCACACAACGAACATGTCATAAAATCATTTATTTTTGAAAAACTCTGCGAGGTGTGATGTATTTGTATTGTACTAAATAGTCGTATGTATACTCTATCAGCAGACAGGAAAATCACGAGGTCCTTATGCTAACCGCTTGTTCTTCCTAGCACCCTCCTTAATGCCAGCACAGATAATACTCATCATAGCGACCGCTGATGCACTTCCACTTTGGCTGAAGTGTCCTCCTCATTGATTTGCATTATTTTGAAGGAGCCCTTTACTGCATCCTTATTATGTTAAACCATTTGATTCAGGAGTGTTGGCTCAGGGGTACCTAAAAGTTGCAGGAGGCAAATTTTACATCCCCACTCTAGTTCATTATTTAACTTTGGGGTGGAAAGAACATTTTGTTCTTTGTTAATGTGTTCTCTTTTATTTGATCTAAATCTGCAATTTTTACAACCGCATTAAAATGTGATTTGATTTATTTTTCAGTTTGGAAGACAAGAAATGGCGGACCAGTGTTATAGACACGCTATGAGGGTAAGTCCGTTCTTGTTTTTGAAGATATATACTGTCAATACTTAGTAATTTCTTAATAGATTAAATGACAATGTCTCAGTAAACACATCTACGACAGTTAAATTTTGTTTCTAAACACAATCAAACCAGTATTTCAAACTAACTATTTTTCTCTCATTTTTAGTTTGATCTGCAGGATTCTTCCCTCATCAAGGAGATCAGCGAGATGAAGGATCAGATTCGAAAGAGTCACCTGGCATCTACTTCAAAGACAGTGCTGAAGTAAAGATTTAAACCATTAAAGCAAAGACATTTTAAAGCTATGATGCTAAATGTCTACACATATTTAGCAAGGAAATATATATATATGTATAAAAATTGATAATCCAAACTGAGACACTGAGAAAAACAACTTAATGTATTTTTATTGTCTAAATAGGCCAAAGATTTAACTGTGTGCATTAATCCAGTCAGTGTTTGTGTTTTCACAATGAAAATGTCAATAAGATGATTCTTTTATTCATCTTAAATTTGTTTTTTTGACTGCAACAGTATTTTGTTCTAACTATCGCGGCTTTAATGTTATTGTCATGTTTTATTTAGTACAGTGTATGGTTTCTTTATTAGCATATATTAACACAGATTGCCTTTCTTTAATAAAATTGTTATTGTATTAACATTTGAATGTATTAAAGTAAAATAAAACAAATGTTTCAATAGAGGCAGAGAAACTTTTTGACTCTAAAAAACACAAACATTTTTAAATTCATATAAAAAATGAACTATTTTTTTAATAATGACTGTAAAAAAGAATACAAGAAAAACAAAGTAGTTGCAGAATATTGAATAAGCAGTGACATCATACATACGACATACAGTTGACTATGAGCACATTATGCACAGATTATGTTTGATGTATTTTATAAAATCAGTCTTCATTCTCTTGCAGAAAGATTCATCAGGTCTGTATTTTTGAGATTCTGAAAGCTAAAGTTAAAATGCAATATATAAAGACTGTATTCATGGTAGTCTATATCCACAGATGTTTGAATTGGCTGATATGACATGAAAGAAAGTATTCTCACTGCTGAAGTTTTTTCCACATTTAGTATGTATAGCCTTATAAGGTCAACTGTGAGACTATATATAAACAGGTGCCTGCCTTTCCTGATCATGTCCCAACTACTGAATGTATGACATGTGGCCTCAATCTAAGCTTAAGGATGATGGGTGGAATTTATCTGCACCTGATCTCAACTTTAGCTTCATGGTAAAGGCTGTAAATTTTCATGTAAATGTGATTCCTTGGCTTTCCCATTTTAATACATTGCAAAAATCTCAACAAATTTATTTTTTAATTTCCATGATGTGTTCTATTAGAAAAGAGATAATTGAATAGTTTGTAACATTGCTTAAACATAACTCAAACTCATAACCTCCCAGATGCACCATTTATAGAATAAAACATATATGACCTACAGTAACTCTTCAAAAAAGGTCAGTACAGTTAAGTTAATCTTGTTTTAAATTTTCAACAGATACCTCAAATACCTTGATTTTTTTTGGCACATCTCTCTGTGAGGGGAAAAAAAGAAACATTATATAAATTATATTTTTTAACTTTACAGTTAAAATTCTCCTTACTTTATTTTTTAATTCTTTCTTTTTTGTGTTATATTAACATGTTTTAATGAATGAATTCCAGGTTTAAGTTTTGTAACAATATGTAAAATACTTATTCCCCGAACTCCAAATATTTACCAAAACGAATCTTTCGTCTCCCTGAAGTCAAAGAGAATTGTAACGACCAGAGTAATATTACAGCGACGTTTTTCAACGTCAACCATGGGTAACTGTTTTTTTTGCGGCGCCATTTCATTATGACTTGTGCTCTTTCTTGATGCCTCTGCAGATCACTGTCTGGAGCGGGCGAACAGCTCTCTCAACCAGGGGGAATCCTCATAAAGACGAGGGTCACCCAGTAACTCTGCGTTCCTCTTGTAGAAGTAGTAGTACAACACAGATGCTACAAAGATTTAAAAAAAATATAATACATTTGTGAGATTGTAACCTAAAAAAACTATTAACATAACATAATTTTCAAACAGTGATCGATTATTTACATTCGATTATGTTTGATTTCACATGTAAGAGAAATAGCTTCTCAGAAGATCGACTTGTTTTTGCCAGAAGTGGACTAGCTTGTGCTCCAGCTGGCCTTAAATGATCCAGCAATGGTTCTAGCTAAAGGTCTGTTGCTAGTTGTGTTATTCACGTCTATGGGAGGACGTGATGGTAAAAAGTTCAATCAATCGCCTGGAGTCAAGTTATTTTGACCTGCCACCAGTTCCAGAGGAAAAAGGAGGACGTCTGGAACAGTGAGTTGTTTATGAAAAGCTCGTTGGCTAAGAGCGCAGACATATGTATGAATTGGAATAGAATCAAAATGTGTGACTTTGTGCAATGTTTTGGAGATTCATCTGTCGATTGTGAGACGACTGTTTTGTGAAAATTAATTGTCTCAGAAAGACGAAAGAACTGCTTCATTCATTTAAGAGACAAAACAATTATTCCATAATCACTGATTTAGTTTTGAGCACCTTTCTTTATTCATCATCNTTAGTACAGTGTATGGTTTCTTTATTAGCATAGATTAACACAGATTGCCTTTCTTAAATAAAATCGTTATTGTATTAACATTTGAATGTATTAAATTAAAATAAAACAAATGTTTCAATAGAGGCAGAGAAACTTTTTGACTCTAAAAAACACAAACATTTTTAAATTCATATAAAAAATGAACTATTTTTTTAATAATGGCTGTAAAAAAGAATACAAGAAAAACAAAGTAGTTGCAGAATATTGAATAAGCAGTGACATCATACATACCACATACAGTTGACTATGAGCACATTTTGCACAGATTATGTTTGATGTATTTTATAAAATCAGTCTTCATTCTCTTGCAGAAAGATTCATCAGGTCTGTATTTTTGAGATTCTGAAAGCTAAAGTTAAAATGCAATATATAAAGACTGTATTCATGGTAGTCTATATCCACAGATGTTTGAATTGGCTGATATGACATGAAAGAAAGTATTCTCACTGCTAAAGTTTTTTCCACATTTAGTATGTATAGCCTTATAAGGTCAACTGTGAGACTATATATAAACAGGTGCCTGCCTTTCCTGATCATGTCCCAACTACTGAATGTATGACATGTGGCCTCAATCTAAGCTTAAGGATGATGGGTGGAATTTATCTGCACCTGATCTCAACTTTAGCTTCATGGTAAAGGCTGTAAATTTTCATGTAAATGTGATTCCTTGGCTTTCCCATTTTAATACATTGCAAAAATCTCAACAAATTTATTTTTTAATTTCCATGATGTGTTCTATTAGAAAAGAGATAATTGAATAGTTTGTAACATTGCTTAAACATAACTCAAACTCATAACCTCCCAGATGCACCATTTATAGAATAAAACATATCACCTACAGTAACTCTTCAAAAATGGTCAGTACAGTTAAGTTAATCTTGTTTTACATTTTTAACAGATACCTCAAATACCTTGATTTTTTTTGGCACATCTCTCTGTGAGGGGAAAAAAAGAAACATTATATAAATGATATTTTTTAACTTTACAGTTAAAATTCTCCTTACATTATTTTTTAATTCTTTCTTTTTTGTGTTATATTAACATGTTTTAATGAATGAATTTGAGGTTTAAGTTTTGTAACAATATGTAAAATACTTATTCCCCGAACTCCAAATAGATACCAAAATTATTCTTTCCTCTCCCTGAAGTTAAAGAGAATTGTAACGACCAGAGTAATATTACAGTGACGTTTTTCAACGTCAACCATGGGTAACTGTTTTTTTTGCGGCGCCATTTCATTATGACTTGTGCTCTTTCTGGATGCCTCTGCAGATCACTGTCTGGAGCGGGCGAACAGCTCTCTCAACCAGGGGGAATCCTCATAAAGACGAGGGTCACCCAGTAACTCTGAGGTCCTCTTGTAGAAGTAGTAGTACAACACAGATGCTACAAAGATAAAAAAAAATATAATACATTTGTGAGATTTTAACCTAAAAAAACTATTAACATAACATAATTTTCAAACAGTGGTCGATTATTTACATTTGATTATGTTTGATTTCACCTGTAGGAGAAATAGCTTCTCAGAAGATGGACTTGTTTTTTGCCAGAAGTGGACTAGCTTGTGCTCCAGCTGGCCTTAAATAATCCAGCAATGGTTCTAGCTAAAGTTATATTGCTAGTTCTGTTATTTACATGTATGGGAGGACGTGATGGTAAAAAGTTCAATCAATCGCATTGAGTCAGGTTATTTTGACCTGCCACCAGTTCCGGAGGAAACAGGAGGACGTCTGGAACAGTGAGTTGTTTATGAAAAGCTCGTTGGCTAAGAGCGCAGACATATGTATGAATTGGAATAGAATAAAAATGTGTGACTTTGTCCAATGTTTTGGAGATTCATCTGTCGATTGTGAGACGACTGTTTTGTGAAAATTAATTGTCTCAGAAAGATGAAAGAACTGCTTCATTAATTTAAGAGAAAACAATTATTCCATAATCACTGATTTAGTTTTGAGCACCTTTCTTTATTTATTGACAGTATGCGTCTTTAAATTACCCCTTGGATTGGAGAGGCTAACTTTGCTAGACATCCAGAGACAAAACAAGGGGAAATCCCTTTGAGACAACCAGGATCTAACAGTGAGCCGGATTAAACATAATTACCACTAAACCCGATAAAGCCTGTCATAATAAACACAGATCTACCAGTGAGTTTGCTCACAAACATTACTTATAAACAATTAAAAATAGCCTGTTGAAAACAAAACCAACTGGACTGTAAAGCATTTTATCATCTGATACAAGCAGGAAAGCACAATCAAATTGGGATGTGATATTACAGCCATGTCTACCACGTCTCCACATGGGAATCAAACTGTATGGCATGGGGCCAGCTTCCTTACAAGATGTTAAGAACAGCTGTGATTTTTCTCTCAGTGATATATTGAGACTATAGACAAAAACATAAATGGTATTTTAAAATATGAGTAGAATTCCTATAAAGTCTCAATTATTTGTTCAGTTTAGAGCATTTATTGAGTTTTTTTTTTTTAAACAAATGTACATTTTCTAATATTTAAGGTTCTGACCTTGAAAACAACAATTCTTTTTTTGTATGATGTATCATGTTCCAACCTCAAATATCAGTGTATTTTGGGGAGGATATAAAATAAAAGCTGAAAAGCAACATATAATGTTGAAGTTTAAACAATTCTTAAAAAGTAAAGTGTGGTGTACAGTTGGCTGCCTGGGTTAGATCATTGTCTTACTGATAGTGCCTGGTTTCATCTTCATCTTCCTGGTTGATGACAGCAGATTTTATCGATAATTTCTTAGTATATTTTTCAAATCATCTGTCCCTCAATGAGCCTTCAAACCCCATACCATGATGGTTTCCCCTCTGAATGTCTGTGTTGGTATGGTGTTTTTGCGCTTTTTTCAAAACCCAGACTGGGTTGTCTAAGCACTTTGGTGTGCCAAAATGTTGTAATCAGGCTTCAACAATTTTTTTTCTACAGAGAGTGTCTTGCAGGCTTTGAGCACAATCAGGAAATGCAGGTAAGCACATCATTTTCAGAGACATGTCTGATGTCACGGCTCTTAGATCCTCTGGGAAACATCTAGTCCTGTAGATTTATGGCTTCAATGGTTTTGGAAAATGATCCTTTTTGGTTTTGCCCATCATGTCATTGTCTCTTGTGTGACACCTTGATTATGACTAAAATTTCTCTGGGCCTTTCAATACAGTTTTTCAGTCTGAATTGCAGATTAGTGTTTGAAGTACTGATGGATTTGAACTGATTTCACCTCTTACAGTACCTCTCTGAACCTGTGATGTGTTCAGTGATTCTGCCTCCTCTACTTCTATTTTATGAAACATATTTTTTAATTAATGAACTTCTACGACTTGTCCTATAAGCATTTGTAGAGTTAATGGTCCAGCTGTCTAATATTTATTTTACCAGGCACAATTAGTGACTTTGGCACCATCTGGTTGCATTTGATGCTATCTAGTGGTTTTACACCTGAGGAACTTTTTAAATGTCTAATTTTAAATGAAATTAAAGATTTAATTTCTTCTTTTCTACCCTATTCATAGATATTATTTTGTCTTGGTCTACCACATGAAATATTAATAAAATACTTTAAATATGACAAAATTTCAAAAGCTTCATGCAGCACAAGTACTTTTTATTGGGACAGCATTACTCTTGTAATGCTGTCCCAATAAATGGATAAAATCTATACTCTACAGAAGGTTAAATGAAATTGGCATCTCACCAGATCTTTGAAACACAAACAGCACCTGGAGACCATCTGTCCAAATGAATCTGTTTGTGTTTAACCAGCGCTGATTCTGAAAATAATGTGGAAAAAAAAGGTTTATTACTGAAAAAAAGCTGATTGTTGGAAAAACTTTAAATCATGTCACAATCTCTGCATCAAACTGTCCATATCAATGCATTTTTTTGCACCATGTTTTTTTTTCTCTCCCAATGTTTACATTTGATCACTGCTGCACTTTAAGAAATGCAATTGTCATTAGAGCTGTACAAAACGAAAATTATTTTTTTTACAATAAAGTTTTGTCTAAGTCTAGGTCTAAGTCTTATTAATAATAATAACAATAATAATAATACTTTCAGGTTAAGCTTTCAAGCTCATCTTTTAGTTTCCATCTCTTTAAATCAAAGATAATGTTTCTGCTAATTTGTTTTTCATTCCAAAGAGTCCCTACTAAAAGGTCCCTTTTGTTGTTTCCATACATTTATGTGTTTACCATAAGCCAGGAATGAAGTATGATACTGAAGGTCAAGTAGAGAGTAGAGAGCAATAGCAGGGCTCTGAACCGCTCCAGCAGGATAGCGACCAGGCCAACCTGGAACACGTACGTGTTGAACAGCATCAACAGAATGATGATCATGTTAAACAGGATACAAATGTCCTGCATGCTGTGGAAGAAAAAATATACAACGAGCAGACATGAAGAAAACAAGGACAGATAACTACCCCAGTGCCATTAAAAGCATGCTATTTAAATTATTATTTTTTTTTTCACCTCATATTAGTTTCACCCCTACTGCTACTCGGCTAAATCCCAGAGAAAGTTTGACTCACATAAAAAGCACCAACTGGACAGCCGGTTCAGTTCTCAGCAGTTCGCTGAAGGAGTTGACAAATAGGTCAAAAGAGAGCAGACTAAGCTGAATCAACAACACAAGGGAGTAGTTGCTGGCATGAAGCATCTCCGACCCATAGGCAGGGTGCCCAGGCGGATTGTGGTTCCACTGCGGATCCAATACTGCAGCACTCTTTCAATCCCACTACAGAGAAACATCCACCTGGACTCTGCAGATGTGACTGTCTGGATGCCTCAGGGAGACCTTCGGGTTGTCCTGCTCTGCAGAATGCAGATAAAGTCTGTTTTATGTGACATTAGTGCTTCATTCCATGATTCTTTAATCAGCTCAGTTTACTTTGGAAGAACTGAAGCACTCTCAGAGAGGAAGGCAAGCCTTGGTTTGGAAATGAGCAACATGTTAGTTTTGATCACTGTAGATCCTGCAGATGCAGCTGAGAGCAACTTGCAGACTTGCATATTAGAACTGGCCAGACATCAGATTCCTGAGGAGTAAATTGCTGATATCCTGTGGAGGGAAACAAAAGGTTAATAATCTACTGCAGGTAGAGATTTAATGTTGGCATTTCTTTATATAGAAAGTTCTTTTTTTTTATTTCCTATGACTTTAAATAGAACAAATGTGAATTGGCTGTAGTTTGTTATTTTGACTTCATACAGTAGAAAGAAAGTAGAGAAAAAAATATTGACATTTAAATTACTCAGATATATATTTAGCATTTAAAACTCCAAAAAATAAACTTTAACAGTTACTGCAAGATCTCTAAATATTTATTTTCCTGCTAAAATATTTAGCAGGAAGCTGTCCTTTGGAGAACGTATTTCTTCCAGGAGTAGAAAGAATAAAGATTTCTTGATGCAGAAGAAAATGGAAACCTTTTTTCTGCAATTTTCCTTTCCTATGAAGGTGCTTTCAAGCCGGATCTGTAACACTGACACCTGGTGGATCCTCTCACTAATGATCCCAGTATTTATAGCTCAGTACAAGCATGACAGGTGTGAGAAAGATTAGGGCTGCTTCCAAACACTCAGCCACAGAAGTGAAGGCTAATTACTCTTGAAAGCTGGCCCAGTCAGATATTAGGTTAGTGGCTTATTTGCATTCAAAACTGCACATAAAACATGCAGATAAATAAAGGCGTCCAATGTTTCTGACCACTATTACTGCTTTTAGAGATTTCTTTTAAAAAGGAGATGTTATCTCACGCTTTAATTTGCCTAAACCTTTTAATAGAAAAACAAAAAAAACTGTTCTGACAATAAATTCCATCTGAAAAACACTTGTGTAACTTTGTAGTCCATTGCTGTTGTCATTGCGTTTTCTGCCTACAGTTTTAAGAACTGTTCTTCCACATCTTCCATAAATGTTTTAATTTTCTTATTCCAATACATACACCGATAATGTAATACTTAACAGCTAAAAATTATACTCACTTGTTTTTCCTAAAGCAAAAAAAACAAAAAAACAAACAAACCTGTAATTGAAGATTAAATTGTGCTGCTGAAGCCTTCTGTCTCGCTGAGGGATGCATGTGTGCAGAAACAGCAAAGTGTGCTGCAGACTGACAGCTTGTGTCCTTGTAGCAGCTTTTATCCCTTCACCCCTCTAATAAACACGCAGGAGATTTGTGCCACGATGTGCTCCAGAGCACTGTTTGTAACAACAAATGATGTTGAAATGGTATTTATTTTATGCTCACAATTAAAAAAATGTTGAATTAGTTTTAGTTCTCATTAGATGATAGAGAGAAGTGTAAC